GTTTCCTGCATGTGGGGTTTTTTTTGTGTGTGTGTTCTCTTTTTTTTTAACTGAGCGTCTATCTTTCTCTTCTGTTTGCTTTTGAGCATTGACCAGGAAGCCCAGCGCTCTTCAAATTGAAGACAGCATGCAGTCCTGATATCCACAAGTGGTCAGACTGCCACCAGTCTTTATAACAGAGCACTGCTTTTATATGCTGAAATGAATGGCTATACATGAAATGTCTAGGAGCTCCATTAGCATGATATAAAAGAAAAATCTTTATATTGCTGCTTTTTGTGACTGAGTTAGTGGTTGTTTAGTAACTCCATAGTGCCATGCTATATTCCTCACAAGACATTAGAAGAGAAGCACATTAAATTGTAAACAGTGTATTCATCTGCCTTTAATTCTGTGCTGTGGCAATTGTAGTGTAGTGAGGCTGAGGTATGTGGTATCATGTTTAATGTTTCAGATGGACTGAACTTGCAAATTCAGTTTTCTTGCTGTTAGTGATTCCTAAAGTGACCTGCCTCAGGTATGTGAGTTCAGGCAGGAGGTGTATTCTGGACATGAAAAGGTATTATCTCTTCTGTTCAACTGCTTTAACGTGCAATTGTCACTCTTGCTCCAGAGGTTACTAGTGCAGGGAGTAAACTTCCTGAGACAATAATAAATCACCAGCCCTTTGTTTCTGTTTTTAACTTGAGTGTTTGATCACAATGGTTACTGATGCTCCAGCCCAGCTTCCTCACTGATGGCTGCTGGCATGGGACCCTTCAAGCCTGAGAGTCTGGGGTACTGCATACATCCTGCACAAGGAAGAGCAGAACTCCAAACAGCAGATCCTGCTGTGCTATTTTCAGAACAGAAACAGGCAAATTATTTTTTTTTCTCTTTGAAGAGATCAAAATATGCTGGAACATAGCAGGAAATTGTGTGCACAATAAGCAATATCCTAGCAGTGGCTGTTCCGTTTAGTTTTTGATGGGTGAAATTTTTTTAGGGAAATGCTGGAGAACTTGCCAAAGGTTTTCTAAGCTCGTGTGTTAGAGGGTGTAGATGTGGTCAGAACAAAGATCTCTTTCTTTTGGATCTGCATAGCTTGACTTACTGATGCTCTACTTTTGGCAGATAGAGAAGTGAAATACTTGGTACTTACAGAGTATAGGATATTAGTTAGGGTTGTGATTTGCCCAGTGGAAGACTGTTAATTCTAAGGGAAGAATAAAGTAAAGATTGTCATATATGCAACTATCAAAAGAAGCAAGCACCCCATTTGTACAGACACTCGTTGCTTTTCTTTATGAACCCTGTCAAAGAAATTATGTTGCATCATAGTTTTTCTTGTAACAGTTTAGAAGTACCCATCACCTCAGTGCTGGCCAGGTGCAACACCTTGGTTTCTAAACTGGTTTAAACTTGATGTGGGAAAGGTCAGAACAAACAATAGACAAAATCAAAATTTTGAGTATCAGAGTGAGAATATATTTCCTCTTGGTATTCTAAAAGGACACTTAGCCTCCAGAACTTGGAGTCCCTTTTACTTTAGTTTTCAGAGTTCCCGAATTGGATGTTTTGAAGTATAGGGATGACCTGACACTGAAGGATTAAACTAATCATTGATCCAGTCTTGAAAGTAGTGTTTTTATAGCGAAGCAAATGCTAAATTGTAATGCAAGCTAAAGCTTAGACACTGCAGGATCAACACCAGGAATTGGCAGTCCCTGTGTCTGTGGTGTTTGTGAGAACTGTCAAATTCAGATTCCTAAATTCATTTAACTTTTCTGTTTTTTCAGACTGCTATCTCAGTCATACACCAATCGGGCCTCCTTCAGTGTTGTCTAGAGAACGTGTTTACATTCTGTACAGGTCCATTCTCATTCTATCTGCTTCCATATCACAGCTAAATTCTTAGCTTCTGGAGTTATCTAGGCAATTTTCAGTCTCCGATGCTGTCCTACTTTGCTTTTGGCAATATTGTCATTTTGTTGCTTCTGTTTTTTTCAATAAAGCATGCTAAGAATGCTATGTATCTCTTCAGGGCAAAAATAGCGTGGCATGAATATGTAAAAGAGCTTTAACAGTCTCTGAACAAAATGGAAAGGTATGAAAGTAAATTTACAAAAGGATAATGTTCAAGTTACTGAATATTACCCCAGTAACATGATCTTGCTTTAATAGTTCTTTTTTTAATAAAAAAAATACAGCACTGCAGCATTTCTGGACTGCTTTGAAGCCTTTGATGCAGGGCTCCATCAAAAAATTAAGCTGGAAGGGCTATGATTTGGTACTAGAATACAGGCTCAAGGAGGAACTCCTTTTGCTCCTTTGTGCAAAAAGGAAAGACAGACCTGTGAGGAAAAGCAAGGATGCTATGCTGGAGTCCTGAGATGTGGCCATATGGTTGATCTTGGCATGTTTGAAGGGCAAACGAAATGATGATACCTGATCTAAGGTGGCTATGTTCTGTAGCCTTTGGATGACTTCCCAAGCCTGTAGTATTAAGTAAGTGAAATAAATAGATTTTCATATGAAGCACAAACTCATGAATTTTGAGGATTAAAAATGAGTTAGAGGGGTTGCTTTATTAATCAATTTAATGCTGGTGATGAGCTCAAAACATGATACTGTAAATGCAGTTCTGTGATGTGTCACCAGAGGGGTTCCTAATCATAGCTCTGTCTTGAACTGTATTGCTCAGCTATGAGCAACAGCTAGGCAGTCCTGTTGAGAGGGTGAACTATAAACAACTGAATCATCTTTACAATATTAATAAACTGAGTTAAGGAACAGCTGAAAGACCGACTGTAGGATAAGTATACCAAGAGAATGGGAGGAGCTATTTATGCTAAAAATTTGGTGCATAAAATGAATATAACCAGATCATAAACTTATGATTGAATTTAGAATAACTAATCACCAAAGCAGTGAGTGGGAAGAGACTTCCATGAGGAAGAGATATTTAGGAAGCATTATTTACTGAGAGGGTGGTCACACCCTGGAACAGGCTTCCTAGAGAGGTGGTCAATGCCCCAAGCCTGTCAGTGTTTAAGAGACATTTGGACAATGCCCTTAACATGCTTTAACTTTGTCAGCCCTGAACTGGTCAGGCAGTTGGACTAGATGATTGTTGTAGGTCTGTTCCAACTATTCTATAGTCTATTCCCCAGTTGCCCAGGATAGTGCTAGACTTCAGTCTATGAGACAAAAGACTTTTTTCTGTCTTTTGCTCCTATGTCAGCTTTGTATCTCATATAGGTCTAAGATTTGGTAGACCAAAATCCAAATGTTCTCTCCTTACAGAAACTAAGTGCCAATCTTCTGTTAACATAATCAGGATTTTTGAATGCTAAATTACTATTTCAGTTACTTAATACGTCAGCCCCTCTACATGTGCAGAGCATAGCTAAATTCAGGTCCACTGCTTCTTCCAATGCTGTACAGTGACCTCCAGGACTGAGGCCTAAATATGTACTTAGTGGTATGGTACACTAAAAAGCTGTCCTGTTAATCCCACTTTAGGTGTGTAACTTGAAGCTGGGTTTTCACTTACTGTGGGAAAGGAAATGTAAAGTTAAAGGTAAAATTTATCAATTGTACCTTACTTTGTCTAATATCCAAACACCTGAAAGGAGGCCAGGTTTTATATTTGCACTGATACCTCTGAAATCTTAAGCACATAATTTTGCTTTATTGTAGTAATGGGATTACAAAATACATTACGAATGATTGAACTGGGCAAAAATGCATTAGGTCTGGTATTCTAGCATTTAAAGGTATATATAGTGAATGCTTCTTTTCAATGGTTATGACTGTGGAAGGGGTTGAGGGAATTATGAAACCATCTAATAAAATAAAAATCCAACTGAAATTGATACAGTAACTCCAAAGATTTATTTATTCATCTGTACAACAGAGGTGAGACAATCCCAGTAACTGAGTTGCACTTAACTGTCTTAATTTCTACAAAGTAAAGAATTGCAGTTCTATAGAAGAATTATTTCCAAACTCTTCAAGTCAAAACCAGAAGCTTTCCACCAAACAATGCAACTAAGAAAAATCACAAGAGTTGTTACTTCAAATCACTCTTCCCCCTGTACCTCAATCTCAGTGAAAAATTAAACAGCTCTGCTACCCCCATTTTGGGTGCATGGCTGGTGCTATTAAGACTATTCGTTAGCCATGGTTTGCTGGAGTGGGCTGTGCCTCAGACACAACAGTTCTACTACTCCATGTGAAAAAGGAAAAAAACCATCTATATGGCCACTTTAACATTGCATGGCAGAATAAACTATTGCTCAACAAAAAAAATTAACCTGTGCCAGAGCTGTAGTCTTGTTTTCCCTGATGTGCTGTACCCCAGCCTAGATGCAGTTCCCACCTCCTGCCTGTGCCCTGTGTGATGGACTAGTGCCAGTAGTAACCAGGATGGTCAAGTCCCACCACACCAAGCCTCTTCACCAGGGAGAGGTCTACAAATAGAACCTGAGCAGGACTGAACAATTATTCAGTGACATAAGGAGATGCAGGCCTCTGTTTCTTGATCCTTGCTCTAGTTTTCCATACACCAGTGTAAATCAGGAGCCCATCTACTAGGTCAGCAGGTTTACCTCAGTATAAATGCAGAAGTGATATGGAAGCAGCATCAGCCATCTTGCACAGGACCCCCAGTGTATTTGGGCCTCCATCTAAAGGCCGCCTGAGAGATGCCCTGTTGCCTTCACTGGGCTTTTGACCAGACCTCTGTACATGTGTGCTGCAGTACCAAGTTCTGAAAATAGTTGTAAAAATGCAGATTATATTCTTCTAAAATGCTGTCTTACAGATGTTCCACTTCTCTCTGTAACTTTCAATGCTTATCAAATGCTGCTAAAACATTGCATACAGCTTCATAATAATAAAAACCAAGAGCAAAGCAATTGCTACATTCAACTTAAAAGCCAATTTCTAGAAGCAATTTTCATATTTCATTGTATTTATGATGGTGCAATTACCTTCTTCCATTTTTATTTTATCTTCAATTGTACGTGCAAGGAAAAAAAAAGCTATGGATCGCATAATTTGTTTTCTTATAAGGACCCAGTTAGAGAACAGGGTTGTGGATGGATATCTCCAGTCTGTCTGTGCTTCCTGCAGCTAGTCTCACTGTATAGCCTGTTGAGGAAAGTCTCTGCAGGTCACAGGTGAGCTAATGATTGAAGTTTAAAGTACTCTTTATCACCTTCTACACAGCAAACCGTGTCCCTTTATAGCCTAATAAAAATTAACTAACCGAATTGTCAAAACCCAAAATTTCTAAACTAAACTTCACACCAAACTTCAAAATAAATACAATTTAATACAAAATATTAGGAAAAAAACCATTTTACTTTCAAAAACCTATACTTGGTCTCAAAGGTATCCTATTTAACCTACTATATCCATTATGGAACACACTGGATTTGCACAGTATGTGAGAAATAATTGAACTTACTTAGAAGCGTAATTATGCGATCCACTGTGCTAGTAATTAGCTATTTCAGAGACTTGTGTGTGTACCTTAAAGTGACTCAATATGTGCGTTCTTTAAATTTGGTTACAAATACTGGAAAAAGAAAATACTGTCTCTACAAAGTGCTGAGTTCCTCTTCTTCTTATGAAAGCCAATGCAAAAAAATCAGGATGTTTAAAGAGTGTCTCAACATTTTGCAGGATCGCACCCAAGATAGGTTTAGAGATTGATCATCTTTACAAAAGGAACTCTTTCAGAAGTTACAACAGCTGTGATAGGATGGGTGTCCAACACTGTCTTCCCTGAAGTCTCTTTAAATGATGGCATCATGTTCATCACTGTAATAGAAACACAGTAATCAATGTTCTGCAGTACAAGCAACAGTCAACATGAGAAACAGCCACCCAGCTGCCGCTAAGAAGGTTATTTTGTGAACAGAGGCCACCTTGCCAGAAAGGGCTAAGGGCACATTGATCTGGCAGTTACAGTTCTCTCTGAGCCAAGCCTGAAGTTAACAGAACAATTTCATTTTGTCAACACTTGCCAACTTCACTAGCCTTATTAACATTTTGGCTTTCACATTTCATTCAAGTACATATTTTTAGATCAGCTGTTGCTCAGGCATTTTTATCCTATCTTACCTATATCCAATAATAACAGCTAATCAAAGCCAGTTTATAAGGTCAGCGACAGGTTTCTTTTGTTTTAAAGATACTGTTGATCTTAATTCTACAATATCCATTCAAACACTACTGTGGGTAAACATGTGCAGCAGGGACTGGTTGAATACCATGACCAGCAAGCAGGAGCCAAGACAGAGAGTAAACACTAGCACCCCAACAAATCTAATGACATCACCTCACTTAAAACAAGCTTCTCAACTGAGATGGATGATACTGAATAGGAAAAAGAAAAGCAACCTAGTTTTAAGAATTCCCAGTTCTTAAACTAAATGTGGGACAAGGAGGCAAGTCTGGAAGCCTGGAAGAAAACTGAGTAGAACTGGCAAATGGGATAGTACAATTTTGATTAACTATTCACTTACAAAAGGGGTGAGATACAAGATGAAGTCAAAATCATAGATGTCTGACTGGTCCTGTGCTCTCAGAAATGAATGCTGCAAAGGAGAGGAAGAGTAGCTCCACAAAGAACCATACCCAAGACAAGACTGGACCTACTACCTCCTGTCCCCCAATCTGATAATCATAAAGGAGGGAGACCCGTTGGCTGGAAAAAGTTGGTGGCAGAGAAATCTGTTTAAATCAGTGTTTTTCAGCTTGTAGTCTACAGACTGTCTGAAGCCAACAGACAACTTCTAATGCGTCTTGAAAAGGTAACTAAGAAAAGCACGCTTACTCTCAATAGGCTTGTATTTGCTGTACAGCACCTACACTCCACAGGGAAAGTAGCAGCAGCCTGCAGCTCAAAGAAGGTTTAAAGTCACAGAGGACAGGGTAAACAAGTGATTATAGGTGGGATCCACCCTATACCTTTCAATACCCACAGCACAGACTTCTTTATCTAAGACTCTTCAGCTGCCCTCACAGTAAATGAATACAAAAATGCATGGATAGGCTGATTCATGTGACAGATTTACCCTACTTTAGGGTAATATGAATGATATGAAATGACTAGTTCAGATGCAGATGCCTGTATTCAGTTAAATGATTTCTCCTTTCATGGACTTGTGAAAAGTACTTAGAGCAGGTTCAGTGCACCCAATTTTATGGACATTCTGGAGTTGAGAACAAAGTGACACAGAAAACTAAGTCTTACAAATCAACCAGTTGGCCTGCCTATATTACAAGATGGGGCAAAAGTCTGAGTTCATATATTGACGATAATCAAATACTGTGCTTTTAAAAATGTGAATAATGGCCATATTACCTTTGAATGTTTTCTGTGACAATAAATAAATGAATCAATTCAACAGTGGTGGCTTAAGAATGTGGAGTATTAGATGTCTGGCTTTAAAACTGGCTGCTCAAACTAGACTCGAAGGTACATAAAAGGTGATACAAAAGATGGTAGCAGAGTTCCAACAAGATGTCATACAGGTAATAGAAAACAGAGCTACTGCAAAAAAAGTTAACGGCAAAAGGGAGGAAAATGCCAGAGTGAATACACAAATCTAGAGTCTAAGAGAAAGTGTCAGGAAGAACCAGAAGTCTTGCAAATTGCAGCAAACATTTCAAAGAAATGTTCTGAAGGAAATGTTAGCTATTCATGGAACAGCTAAAGGACAAGGATCCTTTATTAAAAAAACCCCAAACTTTATATAATAGATCAGAGAAAACAACCCCACACAGAAGAGAGGCATAATAATAATGAGGAATAGCTGAAGTGATGAAAGACAAAATATCACAGTTAATTCTCTTAATGATATTAATATTATGTACATTAAACAAACGTACGTATCAGAGTTCATTCTCCTTGTTTTGTTTGTCCTTGTTCCCCTCAAGAAAGTGATAAATTGACATGGGACAATGTCTTGAGAACTTACATGGTTCTGTACTGAATGCCTCTTCTAGAGTGATAGGTTTTGCATCCGATGTAGAGAATAACTAGGACTCCAAGTGTCAGCGCGATGCCACCTACAAAACTGCCCACATCAAATTTGGAGGTTTTGGCTACGACAGCCTCAGATTTTGATGTGGCTGAAAAGAAGAAAACAAAAGGCACTTTTTACAGAGCTTGCAAAATTGTGTTTTGAGGGACTCCTCTATATCTTGCCCTCTCCATTGACATATCATCTAAAGACCCAATTAGACAAATTTAACATAGATCAACTGGCAAGATACCAGCCAAGCACACTGAAACCTAGAGCTCCATTTTTAAGTGCCGGATTCTAGTGATGCCGGAGCAGCTGATCCAACTGATTGCTCTCTCTGAAAGACTGACTGCCCCTTCTCCTCCTCACCTCCCTCTTTCCCCTGCCTTTTCCCCCCCCTGCTCTCCCCTCTTTCCACACATGCAGCTCCTGCCCTTCTTAGGCCAGTTCTAGTATTTTTCATACCCTCCATGAGCCAATTTAACTCACTAGGCTGGCCTGAAATTAGCCCAGGCAGAAAAGGAAGTTGCTTTTAGTCAGGTGAGTGTATCGAGTCAGTCTGCAGAGGGGTCCAACAACCACCAAGTCAGTCAGTATAGTTATGTGGTGGGAGTAAAATACTTTTGCTGGTGATGAGCTGTTGGATTGCTTTACCTTGTGTCATGGAATTGTACCCTCACTCTCCAAGTGAGACCTCAGATAAGCCATAGCAGTTTCTGTGTGAAAACGGGTTTTATCTGCTACAAACTCCCACTGAAACACCCAGTCTCTGCCCATCTCTATTTGTACTTGCCACAGGGAGCCTTAGGTGGCCAACTAAAAGTTCTGCTGATGACAGCTTCACCTACCCAATAATGCTTCACTGACATGTGAGCAACCCCGATCTGTTTAAAAGTGCAAGCGTGAAGTGCTGTCAACAAGCAGCTAACCGCAAGGAAATACTGAATTCTACGCTTACTGTTTTTGTATTAAAGGGTACTGTCAAACTGCGTTTGACAACTTTTACATAAAGCGTGACTCAGTCACAGTCATACTCTATCCTCTGTTAGGGATAAAACTCATTACAAATGTAGCCAACAGAACTCAGTCTTTCTACCAAGCCAGTAGACGTATTTTGAGCCACAGGTCAGCTGTGAAAAAGGAAGTATTAGAGATGAGTTCAAGTAAGCTGTAGAAGGGAGAGCTGAACAAATACAGAAGGTGTATTCAAAAGCCAGGCTTTCTCCTAACATTGCTAATCTCCTTGCTGGTGGCTGCTGGTTCAGACCCCTCGCTTTTTTTTTTTTTTCCTAAATACGCCAAGTCTCTCAGGTTAAGGGAAGCCTTATTTAAGTGGAATACTCAGAGGAACATGATTGTAGCCAACTTAGTAATAAAACCCTACCTTACTCTTGTTTTTCAGCATGCATATACCTTCTTTCTTTGTTACACGACTGTCAAACTAACAACTCTACAACTGTACAACACATGTAAACATGTATACAAGCCTTTACGAGCTTCTTGAAATGTGAACTCACCTGTTACAGAAGTGAAAGAAATCTTGGAAGTGGTCACCACTGTAATATTGTGTTGTGATGATGTGACTGATGAAGCTTTGGTGGATCTTGTTGTCTGGATGGTTTTAGTGGGCTGAGTCATCAAGGTGACAGATGTAGTGGTGTTGGTGGGCTGACTGGTACTGGTCAGATGAATAGTACTGGTGGACATACCTGGAAATTTTTTATTTGTGATATCACACAGAAAAATACTTAAAAATAATAAACTGTATACTCATTGAATAAGATAGCATTTATCATGCCCAAATAGTATGGCAGAGTAACAATGAAAATGCCAGTGCATGCATATCCAGGATTGCATACAGACTCCTCCCCTATGCATTTCCTTTGGAAAGACCTAACTTCTGATTTCTGGGACTGAGGGTCAGGAACGGTTTAAAGTAAAGGCTGTAAATAAAACCTGGATAATACCTGATAACTTTTAGAGGGCCAATTTTGTTTGGATAACACTATGCAATTCCATAGAATCACACCTAACAGTATTTTAAAATGTGATAAAATTCTGGATCAAGAGTAACTTTCCATTTGAAGTGCCCAACTTTTCAGGTAACTAAGCTTTTCTGATAAGAATGGATTTTGCATGAAAACATGTGCCCCATCCCGTCCTCCCCCCAGTTTTAAAAAAGATGTAATCTTGAATTTGCTATTGAATGAAACACCAGCTTTACTAAGGCTGCACGTCTATTAAACTTACCAGAAAGAATTCTGTATGTATGTTAACTTAAGGTTCAAGGTTTTCCACACGTGACAGAAGTTTGACTAAAGTAAATCTGCTGGCTTGTATAATTTATTTATTAGTGAGCTGTCTTGCCAAGGTTAAAACAAAGATTGGAATGCTGTTTCACAAGTTTAGTTGACACCTAATGTCTTTAACTTTTACTCTGCTTTTACCTAACACTTCCCTCCTCAGAAAGCTTTAATGAACTTTTCAGAATAAAAATACCATGAAACAAAATTCAAGAATAATAGAGATTGATATTTATAGCAAAATCCTTAGAGCCTTAGTAGAAGGCAGTCAGCTAGAATGATCTTAAGAATAATTACTTATTTTTCTAAGAAGGAACTAGCAAGAAACATGAGCCTGTTATGCAACTAGCATTTCTCTAAGCAGACAATATGAGGCAAATAGCTTTTATGTATGAAGAAATTTTAGGGGGAAAAAGCTCCCTTTGCAGCTGTCTACTACTGTATTGTTTCTATAACCTCACACAAGCCGAGTTCATTTTAAACACCACAAAAGCTTTTCATTACGGACATTCAAATGTCTAATTATACCCATGTTTTCTTGAAACTGTCTAAAACTAGAACAACTGAAGAACAGGTAGTTTCATCTCAATTCCACAGTAAACTTGATAATTCAATTTCTGCTTTTTTTTTATACAGCATCTAAAATGCTTCTATGGAATAATCTTCCTGTAAGTGTGGTTTAAAACATGAGTAGCTACACACAGAATGGTGTCTTTGCTAAGAATTAAGTATCACTGCTTCCTGTGCAGATGTGAATAGCAAAAACTTAAAAAACCCAAACAATACAACAATTTAAACATTAAGAAAGGAACTGGCCTACACAACACTTTTCTGAGACATTTAACATTAAAACTACTGAAACAGCCCAATACAGTCCCCATTATAAATGTTATTTATTTTCCTGTTCTTTGATGTTATAATTGTATTGTGCCACAACCTTAGGAAACACTTTGAAATGAGCATTTGTTGAGATGGAACAGCCGAGTACTATATTCATGTGCTTACCTTGTTACACTTAGGAAATTCAGTTCCTCTACGAAGCATGTGTAAAATACATCAGATAAAATTCAGGGCACATTTTAATACTGACAGGTAAACTCCCCAAAGGCACAATGATCTAAAAATATCAAATGGTTCCTCATTGTAGGAAATAAGCAAGGAAATGTCTATATGGAAACCATCTACAGTTACGTGACATGAAACCACACCTGGTAACTGCATTCCTAATACGAAAGATACCAAAAGAAAGACAAATCTAAATGCAAGTGTCAATCAGTCAGTTTTCTGTGGTTTTTTATTTTTTTGATTTTTTGATTTTGATTTCTGGTGTCAAACTGGCTTGTGTTTCTGAGCAACACAATGGCTACTTGTTCTATGTGTAACATTGTTAAACCATGTTACACAGAGATGGTACTTATCCTATGGCCATTACATTACCCTACAGAAAACGTGAGTCAGCACAAAAAATATCCAAGCAGCTATCGTGAGGAATTTCAGCAAGATTTGCACATTACTCCCCCCCCCCACCCCCCTTTCCTACTAGCGATCCTTTTTTCTTACTTTATCAAGATTACAGCACTTGGTGATATAACATTAGAAGTAAAATCTGGTTAATCTCCTACAGACTTATCTTTCATGATATATTTAGCACCAGTCATTTCAAAACATCAGTGGGAGGCTATCTGAGGCAGCTGGAAAATTTGGGAAGCTGACATGAATTGGGCACCAATCTGTTCTTCTGTGTCTCTGAAACATCTTACCCATACTATTTTACCAACAGAGTTAAGATGAAAAAACATTTGCTAGCAACATCTGTCCTTTTATTTCCCTAATTACTTTTCCCCCCAAAGACCAGCTGGGCTTCATCGAACATCATGCTAAACAAACCCAGACTGCCTGAGTTAATTTTTATTACTTAAAAAGGATGCATGCCAGTAATATCATTCAGGTTTATGATGCTTTGTTTTCAAGAGAGACAAATATTTTACTTTGTATGCTACCTGTGTTTAAACATTAAATAGCTATGCTATATCCATCAATCAAACTATATATATAGCATAAAGATAATAATTCTTAGCAGCATGCACTACCCCCTTAGCATTCTAACTCAACAAGAACAAACAGAACTCAAATTGCATAAGCACTGTGCTAATATACAAAATAATTATTATTGAATGCTCTTCCTAAAATAAATAATACTCTCATTTACATGGAAAATGATTGAATGAAAGAGACTTTTGCTTCTGCCATGAAAAGCTTCCAAAAAAAAGAAAAAAAAAAAAAAAAAGGCAGAGACTCTAAGCAAAATTAAATGCATCTATCTTGTAGTCTTTATTCTGAAGAGGTCAAGACAGATAATCAAAATGGATGAACATTGTCTTAAAATCTATGAAGTTTATAACAAAAAAAAAAAAGGAAAAAAGCCGAAGAAGGATGTGAATCATAAACAATGTGAATCAAGGCATAGCTGTTTGTTAGGTTTGTACTGTGCCTAACAGTAAAGGGCTCAGGCATCTTTTTACTGTTATTATCCAGACAAAGCTCAGACCCCTGCAAGAAACCCATAGTCAGGACTGGAGCAAAGGGTGGAAGGGTTGGAGCACAGGGTGGGTGAAACACCTGTGGTTAACAATGGCTTTACACATGGTTAAGGCCCTAAGGCAACAAGGGGATTACAAAAATCTCTCCACTTTCCAAGTCAGACATGCTTAAACTGGTACGTTGCAGGCAATGGAATGAGACACTGCACCACTTTCTTGCTATCAAAAGGAAGGTCTTTGCAGAGATTTTTTTTTTTTTCCCCTGGTGAGTATTTTATTCTTAAATTAATAAGAAGCAACTTCTGATTGCGGTAGCTCAGAGGTTATCTGGAGACTACAGAGACACAAAGTGAGAGTTGTGCTGGAAATGGAATGACGTAGCTGGGACCTTATCATCAGCATAAAACTCCACAAATACACAAAGCATCTTGAGGTACACACAATATTTCTGCCCTGCTTTCACATGGCTCTTAGCACAAAGGGGACCCAGTTCATCCATGGAACTAGCTTCTCTTCTCTCAGATACAGCCTTGTATCTGTGCATTGCAGACTGAACAACTGCATGACATTAATTATTATCCAGTCTTTACTGACGTGGTAAAATATGCCTGTGCAAGTTCTTCCAGAAAATAATTGTTTTAATTTCCTTTATTAATAATCTCTCACTGACATAGCCAACAGTTGGAACACTGCAAATACAAGTGGATGAACTGTTTGTTTCTGTCCCAGGTTAAGTATCTGCTTTCAAACTCCACTAGTTTATGTAATACAGCTATTTCTTCTTTCTACAAAGATGTGTTTTGTAAACATGTTACTTATGTTGAAGCATCACAACTGCAACGCTGCTGCCTTGGGAAATCATCCTTACCTACAGTTCTTTTGCCAAGTTGTGAAGGAAAGACAGTAGTGCTAGAACAATGCAGAAGTACCCGTGACAGATTGTCCCAGATCTGCTGCTCATGTCTTACTTGAAAACCACTGTTTTGTGCTGTGTGCTCTATAAGGACTATTTTCTATGGTATAAGGTGCCATGAGTCTTACCTAAACAGAAATGGAGTCTTACTCTTGAAAATCAAGCCCCCAGGACTTCGTTATACCCTAAATCTATTTACTGTGAAGTAACATTAAACAGATATGCACTATTTGCACCACAACCCATTCATCTTTACTCCATGAAAATGAAAGAAGTTTGGTTAGAGACAAAGAATGAACATTAAAAAGACCAATTTCTTTCAATTCTTCCTTCATTTCTTCAAAACTTCTTTGAAGTTTTATTTTGATTCCTGTTTTTCAATGGCACCACAGATATCATTGCTTCTACTGCACGCTACCTAAACTTGAAACACAGTATAGCTTCATCTCAGAGTTTTTTTACATGTTGCCTCCCAGCCCTAAAATGATAACGCTTCTCTCAAATACCCACTTTTGATGGATATTTCTTTAGAATTTGGTACTGTCTGGGGTAGGTTTGGAGCTAGCTTCTAGGTTCATAGTAATGGACAGATGAACACATACGTACCTACTGTAGATGTTGCTGTAGATTGTGTGGATGACGTAACAGTGAGATTGGATGAACTGCTATTGTCTTCAAGGAAAAAAGAAAACAAGAAAAGAAATATTATTTATTTTCATGTTAATATACTATAATTAAACTACCCACAACACAGTACTCTCCTCAGGGTATCTGTGTTTGCAGGCTACAAATGGGAATACAGCAGAGAGTGTTCCATCCCAAAGCAGATGGTTTTATCCCTCTGCAAAATGCTTCCAGATCTCAGTGCAGCAAGAACATAGTTACACTGTACACACAGCAGTGCCCAAATGGTCTGCATCTGAATTCTCTACATCTCCTCTTTTGCTCTCTTCCACTTCCACATCATGCTCTACTGCAGTTGCCATCAGCAGCCATACCGTCACTGACTTTCTTGACCTACTTAAGCACTGTGGGTTTTTTTCTAGCTTCAGTTCCATTTCCTGTCCCTTAATCTTTTCTTTCCTTTTGCTGCATCTCTGTTACAAACTGGGCTCATGCTAGGAACATACTGTAGTCATGTCAAATAGAGACAGACCAATACCCTGTGAAACATCTTTCTGTGGGCTTATGCTCTCTCTACACAAAAAGGGTCCTAAGAATGTACCTGTTTCCAAAGACTTAAAATATAAACCATGTTTCATCCTTAATGGTTTTGTCCTTCCCTCCTTTCTTTCACTTCTACTTTTCCAGTTCTTCCCCCCCCCCCCCCCCCCCCCCCCTTCATGTTACTTCTAGGTTCTCAGGCACCCTCCCACTCTCACTTCTGTCCTCATTGCTGCACCCCTCTTCAATGTTTCTTACAGGTTAATGGTCTCTTCCTCCTGGCAAAGATCTACTGGGCTGTTTGGAACCTCCCGTTCCTGGAAGTGTCACTGCCCATACTTCCCTCCCTTCGTTCTGCACTGTTGTCTACGCCCACTCTGTGATTCTTTTCTCTGAAGGAACTGATTTTTTACAGCATCCTCCCACGTGTTAGTGCTATGCACCTTGCAGCAGCTTTATCACTTTTCAGCATGGCTGGAAAACAAAGTGCATAACCTCAGAGATGACGAGAATAGCAAGAGAGCTACCAGAATCAAGAAGCAGGCCTATTTCCTTTGAACAGATGTATTTTTCTTACCACTGGAAAAGTCTAGTCTAAACCAGTTTTGTCAACCCTCTTTGCAGTTGCATACACATTATGAGCAAGCTCAGGTTTAAGAACAAATGCAACAAATTTACACCTCCATATCACCTACCAAAAAGGAGGGGGTGGGGGGAAATTACAGAGGGAATTACTTTGCCTTTTCTTTGGTGTAATCATAGTGAACTAACCCCACCATTGTGTACTGCACACACAATCCTTACATTGACATACCTGGGATATGAAGTTGCAGATTTAAATGCCTTTGAAAAACAAACACATTCTTTCTTGGATATGTTGACTTTTGTACCAGCGTAAGCCACAGATATGCCTGGGGCTAAACCTTTCCCACACTGGCCCAATAGTGTAACCAGACCACAGCTCTGTGTTTCCCCCAAGTTCCAAGTGCTTACTTCTGCAACTCTGGGAACACGTCTGGATGTGGACTGCGTGCTCATACAGGTGAAAAGAAGCCATGTACACTGCCTGGAATTTGGGTGTGAGTCAGTGATGCAATTAACACAAGATAGAGTGAGTCAATGAACAGAGTATTGGCTATACATCTCCCTTGTTGGCTAATAGCAAATGAGATAAGCAAAGTAGTACAGGGCAAAAGTGACTCAAGGAATATGCTTTTTGCATGGCACACGCTTAGAGGTGTACAGCTTAATGCAGTCAAAATGAGATTACACTATGAAATAAACATGTACTTTGGCAATGAGCTCAAGCACAGTAGGCCTAGGATCCATTTTGACATTAAAAATCAAACGAAAAAGTGCCTTGCCCCTTTTTCTGAAGAGCACTGAATTCTAGCCCAGCAGACTTCTTGAGCTGCTGGTTCTCTTTTTAACTGTAAATTGATGTTGGCAGGTATTTCTAGTTCTACATAATGGAACTAGTTCTATATAAAATACATAAAATTTTCCCATTTTATTTCTCCTCTTTCTGTTGCTCTTGGGTACCTAAGGATACGAGCATTGAGTTGTGTTCTACTGTTCCTCTTCAGTATCTTTAGTTGTCGCAGAATAGATGCAACAATCGGCCTACCTCCCTCCTGCCCTACAGCTGTTCACAATTCAATAAAATAAAGAGCAAACTATTACAGGACAGTTTAAGGCATACAATAATACATATCGCTTTTCTCGATGCTACTGAGGAACAACAACAGAAATGCCAAAAGTATTACGTTGCAACTTATGGTCTGGCATCGTAGTAAAGGGTGTAGTACTGCTGGAGTTGTTTGTCTCTTCATTTCCTACATAAAACCCAAGAAGAATAAGATAGTTTTAGGTTCTTTATTACTAAGAAACAAACAAAAAAAGTTAGCACAGCATCTGTCACTTGCTTTGGGCATATAAATGACCAAACTACCATGGACAAGAGTTAGGTATAATGATGATATAAAAGCATGGTACCACAACAGCCTGCTCTTAGCACATTAAAAATGACAACATTTGCACTACCCAACCATCAAATGAACTGGAACTCCTTCCCATCCTCAGTTTTATCTTCCCCACCATCACCATCCCAAGTTCTCTTCCTCCTTGAGATGAAAGGAGACTGAAAGAAGCAAGAGGTAGAAAATCAGGCATCTTCCTTCAGTAATAACATATGACCAGCATCACCTACAGCAGAAGGAAAAGAACTTCTCATGTAAATATTTTCCTATGAAGTCTGCAAGGCCTCTGCAAGCAGATGAGTGCTTGCTCTGCCCCTACATGGACAGCATGGTAAGACAATAAGCTCCACTTAGATGCTGAATTGCTTAGTTTGGGACTAACAGCATGTTAATGCATCCACTGAGCATTTCACAGGTGGGCAGTGGGATACAGAAGGATCACGCCTCTGTTGAAATATCATCATATCCTAAAGACTGAGGCCTGATTACTCTGTGCTTAGGCCTGATCTACAAACAAATGGTAAAATTTAAAGATAAACCACACAGAATGAAAAGTCTGGCATTCACATGCATGCAAGAGGATCAGTTGTGGATTCTGCCTTTGCCAAGCAGAGTTTAGTTTTGATCACTTATGACAATATTCTGCTAAAGGCAAGCAAATAACCTGAACTAAGTATTACAGAAATAGGGCACTTTCACAGTAGTTACAAAGTAAAGATCTCAGAATGGTAAAATTTGCAAATACAAATGGCGAATCATTTGCAACTTATCCCTGCAATATCAAGATTGAGGGCAGCACTGCAAGATATGTTAGACTGTTTAATTAGGGAGCTTAGGGAAAACAAACAAAAAAGGGAGAATGGAACACAGCTAAACTAAGCTTCCCCAGCAAGGACCCAATCCTGCAAAAAGTGGTCTACACCAGAGTTAGTCCTCCTGCATTTAACAATGATCTGACTGAGGAAGCTAAGCCAACAGAAAACTGACATTATCCCCCTCCCCAACAGCACACAATGTTTTTTGCTGCCTCAACCAGCAGAATGGGCTCCCTGTAGCATTAGATGAAAGAGAGGGGTAGGAACCAGAAGTGGAAGGGAAGACAGGACTGTATTAGTCCTAGTTCAGATCAGCTTGGACTGCACACCTTGAAAGACATCAAGGACCATATCCAGCTTATAAGATACTTTTTCCCTCCTCAAAAAAAAATTAAGTTTCTTAATTTGGATCACAAGCAGTTGCTCCAGAATACAAATACATCTTAATATGGGGTACTGCATAAGCATATGCCACATTGGAACACGTGGCTGTGAATGGGACAGGTGAGAAAAAGAAAATCTCTAAAATGACACTATTCCCAGACTGTTCTCTATCCTTGGAATCACTGCAGGGACAGCAGAAAACTTCAACCAGGAAGGCAGGAAGGACTCCTGGGTTAAGGCAAAGGGAAAAGCAGCATACACTTTTTACACAGCGGTGGCTCTGACAACTGGACACTCTCATTCAAGACCAGACTGCACAGTGGAACTGGCCCAAAGTGAAACAGTGCGGGTTTCTGGCCTTCTCCAGGGAGCAGAAGTGCAAGGGTTAGAAGTCTGCACTGTCCCAGGTGTACATGTGCAGGCGTGAGCACAGGAAGGAAGCGGGGAGAAAGCTGGCAGCCAGCTGCAGCGTGGAAGGTCCTGCGCATGAGCAGAGGTAAAGCTCTTTGGGCCACAGGATTAGTTGCAATATTGGGCCTAGAAATCTTGAGTAGAGAAACTCTGTGTTCATCCTTGTTCCCGCCATGATCCACAGGAGAGACGGGAAGAAAAAAAACCCCACAAAACTCCATGTTCATTTTTGATGATGAAACAGAACTGAACCAAGGAAATACCCAACTTAAAGCAATGCACCAAAGCACCACATACTAGAAAAGGACAGGGAAAAGGGAGCAACAACATTTTTGTCAGACAACTCTGTTTTCTTCTGTTTAAGGTCAGGCACAGATGCAGCTAAAAACATAACTACTTGTGGCTGGCCAGGGTGTATGTGAAGGCAAGCATGCTTCCTATGAAACGCTATGGCACGGTTTGGTATGCTGAGCGCTTCCAGGGCCTCTCGTGGTTTTGTTGCTCTAGCACGTAAGAAGTCCTAAGTTGGAGACAATTTGGATAAGCAAACTTTGAAACAGGCAAAATCAGGCCAGTTCTTCCAGCTTTGTAGCTGGAATTCAGCTTCCAGAAGTGGCATTCAGACACAGGTGCTGAAGGTCCATGCTTGTGCTAAACACGTAGGTAGGTGGAGGGAACATGATAGGGATAGTTCTGATACTTGTTGAAAACGAACAGATTCTGCCAGATCCTGCAAAAATCAACACATTGGATAACACCTGTGAACCCTTAACATTAGGAATCTGTCCTCTCCAGCTCAGATATGTACCAAATTACTATTCTTTGTAGATGAAGCCTGGTAGAAGCAGCATACACTGGTGACTGGCACTACTCATTCAACTCCCTGCATGTGACAAAGGTCAATTTGCCCACTCCCACATTCACATTTAAGACAAACGCATTTCTAACGACTCACAGACTTTATATCTAGTCTAACTACACCACACGCTGCAGAAACATGTTGGTATACAAACTCACATTTTTACTAAGCACAATTTTACACATTCATTTAGGGGACATTTCAAAAGTCATAGATAAAATTCTGTCTAGACATCTTCTCTTTTCAAGTTTGATTCATAGCAGGTAAGTAGGAGCATCTTATGCCCAAGCCATTCCACTTTTGTTGCTTCAAAAACCAAAAAGTACAGAGGCACTGACATTGCACAGTCCATCAGAAAGATCTCCGACTTGCACAGTAACATCTAAGCAATCTAAATGAGTAACAGTTGAGGTGCTGGAATGGTTAAAACAGAGATGTTAGAGCAGTAACATGAATATATAATCATCCCCTAGGTAGTCTCCACCATCAGGGTACTCATTCTCAGTTGAAATGGATGAAACTCAAATTCCGGAGATTAAAACAAAAACACCCCCCTGGCCCCAAATCCGTGGTAACATCTGCCAGGCAATTTTCACAAACTATCAGTTCAAATCCCCGTTGTCTGGAAACTTTATATTTCTTTTCCCTTTGACTCAACAAGGTCTTTTGGTACTTATTTTTGAAGTGGCATTCTGGACCTACCAAGAAGGTAGGTCATTCTGAGATGGAGGTCATGCAGGATTATCTCAGCAACTTTCTGGACTGGTTCTCATACCTTAACATTGTGAAATTACCTCACAGTCTTGCAAATGAAAGCATAAACACCAATGCATAGATGCCTAGCAAAACAACACAGACCCAAGTAACTGATTCTCAACCCTGGTCAATCCAAGACTGAAAAACTACACCACCTTTTGCTGTCACCCAAGAATCTAAGAGAAGTAAGGAAACATGCTGAAATCAAAACGCCATGCCTGTTCTTAGGTCTGGCAGTTGCTGCTGCTCATTTTTTGTACTGCAAGTAGTTTTGTATACAGGTAAGCTCTTGGAAGATGTTGCTAGCTATCTTTTCTGAACAGAGGAAGGGGGTGGGAGCAGCTTCCTGCCAGGGAGTGTGGATTCTCCTCACTCACTCAGATATCAGGAAGCCAGCTGGATTTTACACAACACTGAGAAGGATTTTTTCCTAAACTGTAACATTTTGGTTATGTTTCTTCCACTGACTTGACCAACACATAGAAATAGGCTTTCCAGCAGAGTAAAAGAACAGCATTATATTGAAATAACCAGCCTGCCCAAAAATCTTAACTGGAATGAGGACAGCTCTACTGCTACTGTCACTTTTTGCAGATCGTAGAATTATAGTATTTGATGGGTTTCACACTTTCTCTGATAGTGTTCATTAAGTGAATCACAAACTTTTGCTGAAACCAACACAAATCTCAGCAGTAGTTTCTGGAAGTTTCTGAGTAAGTGGACAGAAAAAAAAAGGAAACTTCAGTAGATACGTTAGACTGAGCCTTAAAAGGGCACAACTTCTCTCAACATATTATAAATGGGGTCTAGACAACAAATTCATATAAAGAGGAAGGACTACATTTGACTGTCAAAAGTTAGATGAGATCATCCCTGCCCCAGGAGACAGCACTGACTGTACACTGAGTTAAACCAGCATATGCACTCAGAAAGCAGCATGATAAAAGACAGATCAGGGAAATCTTATATCAAATGAAATGACAGTCTACTGTTGTAAAATGGAGGCCATGCGATCTTAGAAAAGCAGTAAACAGGTTACGAGCAAACTTCTTCAAAAAAAGCTTGCTTTTTTTGGAAGGGCAATTATAAAGCTGTTTACATTCCTCATTTTACTTTTTTTGTATCGATTTGTATTATAGCTTCACCAGATTAAACAACAGCATATTAACACTGCTGAACTGACTGATAGTCCTCAACATTATTTATGACAGGTTAATTTTGGTACCTATCTTTCAGCTTCTTTACTTTGGAAAATTGTGGGGCACTGTATGGTGCATTTCAGTCTTCCGAAAAGGCAACTCTGGCAGCTCAGACTTTTGTATCTCTCATTTTATTTGAGTGCACGTTGACGATTATCCCCTGAATCTGGTCGTTTACCACCTGAGTTAAAGCACAAGAAAACAGAAGGTGGTGTATTTACTAGAGCCAGCCGTTAAAAAGAGGCATGGCTGCAAGCGCCAGACCGAAACGCGACAAAACACACCATCTGTCCTAACAGCAAAGCCACGACGACCCCCAAGCTAATAAAAGCCACTCACCACAATTACAGCATGCCTCAGAGAACAGCATCGAGAAGGGCAAGGGAAGCGTTTCCTTCCAGCCTAGCCCTGCCCGGGGCTTCCCCG